ATAAAAACACCAACAGTGCCACAGCAAATGGCTATATCCTTCCCCGTCTGTGACATCTGGGTATAACGCTGCTTAGAATGGCACTACAGGTTTTCTAAAGCTAGGAGAGAAAGGCAGAGAAAGAAACTGCTACAGCAATATAGAAAATGAATTTTTGGAAAACTGAAGTACCACAAGCATACCAGCCTTAAGGTGGGGCCCAGAGATCTTCCCAATCAACAACGAATCTCCAGACCACCGATATCAGTTCCCCTGGATAAAATATCTGTTTTGGAAGGTGGATTCTATGGCATTATACCCCCTGAGATCCCTCCCCCTACAACACTCCAGGATTTCCCCAAAATGGAGTTGGCAACCCTAGCAGCTGAACCGTATTGTACACTTAAAAGGCGGGAATGGCTGTACCATCTCTTTGATCCGTAAAAATGCCCACTAGCAGTCTCCACTACCGCCCTCAATTCGTCCCGGTCCCTGGCTACCCAACCGCACTCACATTCCAATTCAACGGTCCCGCCACACGGAGGCTACGGCTGCGCCATCGAATCCTAACCCAACTGCCCATGCGCAGTCGATGTCAACACTTGCCGGTAGGCCAATCCTCTTTCCCAGTGACCGTCCAATTTACTGCGCATGCTCAATGATCCAAGCGTACTGCTTTGGTCCTTTTTTTAAAACCCTTCCCTCTACATCCTCCTGTCACCGCTCTTAAAAGTAGGCGCGAGCAAGTTCGCTATTGCGCATGCCCGACACGCAATTCCCCCACCGCTCAACATGGCCGATGTGTGTCGCAAAATGGTATCTTCTTCTTCCCGTTGTCCGGGCTACGTGCTATTTACAGCACTTAACGAAGCTGCATGGCAACCGAACGGGAGAAGGAGGGGGTGGCGCTCTGTGGTTAGAGGAGGGCTTCGCTATCAGCCATTTTCTTCTCCTCCTGGCGGCAGGGGAGGAAAGTGCGCCCCTCCCTGATGGAGAGATTGATGTCGCGCGGGGTCTCTTGAAGTAAGAGGGGAGGCGAAGACCTGGCCCTGGGACAGAGGAGGCGGCTGTAGGTGGTCGAGCTGGGCTGGCATCGGAGATTGTGGGTTTTGGCTTTATGATTTTTCTTGTAAGGACATAATATAACGAATGCTAGACCTTATTTACGGTCATTAGAATGAGGTAGGTCCTGTTATTCTGCTGCAGCCAGTAGTCTTGTCACACCTTAAAAGACTTACCGAATATTATTAATCTGTAGGATGTCACAAGTCTGCATCTGATGAAGCAAGCTGTGACTTGCCCTGAAATCGCCTCTGTTAGTCCTTAAAATGCCACGGGACTCCTGTTTAATTTTTCTACAACAGGGTTACACCGCTGGAATTAGTATCATACAAGGCTACCTGTAATTTTAATAATAAAATGATTGAAGTTTCATTTATGACATTATGGGCTTTGTGGTAAGACTTTAGGATCTGGTTTTGTGAATTTCCAAAACAGGGAACAATGTACATTCAGGCTATAACCAATGTCCCCTCTAAGCTGTAGAGTCTTGTGAGCAAAAATTCTACTTTGTGAGCTACTGGCATTAAAGTTGTGAGCAAGCGATTTGGCTACTGCATAAATTAGTTTGCTCTGGAGCCATCCTTCCTGAGCTGAGACAAAAATGTGTGAGCCGGAGGCTAAAAAACTGTGAGCTAGCTCACACTAATTCAGCTTAGAGGGAACACTGGCTATAACCCTTATGTTTGCTTACTGGGGAGTAAAATTGGCACAGGGTCAGACTGTAAGGTATTCTGTATAGAAGCAAAGCCCATTGCACTTCGTGGGATTTACTTCTGAGTAAACATACAAAGGAAAATGTAGACTAATATGCTGTTTTGGGTGAAAGGAAATGCCATTGAACTCAGTAGGACTTAATTTACGAGAAATGTGAGTGGCACATTTTCAGTATTTTCTCAACACCTAGGAGAATAGTACAAACCAAACTAAACTCTATCATGTTTGGAGGTGAGAGATCATCTTTGAAAGATGCATTTTAGAAAAACAACTTTAAGAAAACACTTGAAAGATGAATGGTGAGTATTATTGAAGAGCCAGGGCAAAAAAAAGTGGATACTGTTTCCATTATGGAACACTGAGAGCCTGTCAACAATAAGCAGAAAACATTGGGCATGATCCAGTCAAAGTTGGTTACTTGTGTCAGTTGTGGTGGAAAAGATAAGCACACATTTAACACTTTCCAACTGAAAGTAGGAGAGTAACAACGTATTTACAGGATGCACAGCAGGCCGCTTATGTGAAAATATAAGACTTTATATTTGGATTAAATGTTTCCATTTATTTGTGCATTTAATTATGAAAAAGGAAAGGAAAAGGTAACCCATTTCAGTGAGTTACCATTAGGAGAAATTAGAGTGTCCAAAAACAGTGTAATATTACCTTGAAATCTGGCACAATGTAAAAAAGCCTATGATTAAGGCTCGTGTTGGTTTTCCTAAAAGTGAACTTTCTTGTTGTATAAAAGCAGTTGAACTAACAGGACAGGGTAAGTGTTCCTTTTATCTAATTTATGGCTTTGCATACTTGGGAAAAGTCAAAAGTTGTATTCAGGTCCTTTAGGCAGGCCATTATAACCTCTAACAGATTTATTTAGCTATGAAATTTCTTATCCTTTCATAGAACAACCCTTTTGATACCACAATCTGTTTTCCATCCCATTTTGATTCAGTTTCCAGACTAATTGGCAATGCTTTAATTTTAGAGTCTATATTGGTTAAAAAAGCAGTGTAAGAAAAGTTTTTGTAGTCTGCTGCTTCTCCCTCAAGGAGTTACACATCACATCACAGAGATGTTCAGCTGAATGTCGTGAACTACAGAAAGTATATTGTAACACATAAACTCCTGTATTCTCATAATCTCTAAAGCATGCACATTGATGGTGCTGTATACATGATAAATATTATAATAATTTATTCCCAAATGTACAGTCTGGTTTAACGTAACTGAAGGGGTGAGATCTCAATTCCGTACTCCAGTAGACCCACAACTCAGGAAAAAAGGATGCTGTATCTCAAATGACTTTTTAAAGCTTCCAGTTTCCTGCCATTTGCCTCTGCATATTTATTTATTATTATCTCCCCATTTCCAGAAATAAGGTGGTAGAGATTTTGTATACAGTGACCTTTAGCCATACTATGGAAACATTTGTGTCTGTTAGCCTGTTTAAATCAAATCCTTGTAAACAAGTCCTAACACAAGTCCACTTTCTGGAGCATATGCCTATGGCCCTCTGGTGAGGTAGGATGGCATGCAAGATACCTCCTGCCATGTTGTTCATAGGACACGTTCTCTTGTCCTTATAGTTCTCTTGTCCTCTTGGCGTTATAGATGCAGCATGCAGGTGTGTTACAAATGCTCCCTTCCCTTTCAAAGACAGCATGAGAAATAGTTGTGGTTTTCCAGCAACACTGATTCTGTTTCATTACTCTAGTTGGCTAAAGGTCTGTAGCAAGAATGGGTTATGACACTGAGCGCTTCGTCGGTTATGTTAACGAGGGTCTCTTGTGCTGCATCTGCCGAGATGTTCTAGAAGATCCCCTGCAGGCTCCTTGTGAACATGCTTTCTGCACTTCCTGCATACAAGGATGGCTTGTCCATTACAATAACTGCCCAGAGGACCGTCAACCACTTGATCTGTCCAACCTCCAACCTCTCTACAGGTGTGTAACTAACTTGGGACACATCACTCCCATCGCTAGCTCTGATTGACGGCATTATAAAGGCAATGGTGGGGCTTCCCCTCCTTTTTGTACACTAACTTCAGGTTATCAAAACAAAGGTGAAATTATCTAAGCTGCGTAACAAATTTAGTCACTTTCATTCAGCATCAGAATTCTTCTTAAAAGAATATAACTGTATTTCATTGACTTCTGTATGAATTGCCTTCTCTATTGTTGAATATTTCCATTTATCACGTGTTGGCAGAACTAGATTACTCAGTCCCTACATTTTGGAAAAAATGGGAAAGGATTTAAGGATTCTGATTGGAAATTGGTATGGAATACATCCCTTCCAAATGAACCTTTATTTTTAAAAAGAAAACTTTGTTAAAATTCAGTACTAATGGTTATTTGATGCAAGACAGAATAAGTTTAATATATAAAATAGATGTGATAAATGTTGGTGGTGCTATGCTAATAGAACAGATTTTAAACATATCTTTTAGACATGCCAGAAGATTCAAGCTTTTTGTATTGGTGTTTTGGACCAAGTATTTGAAATTACAAGATGCAGATTACTAATGAACCATGGTAATAATATTGTTATTTAAAATATGATGTATTGTATGTAGATTTAGAAATAGTTATAAATCTACGGACTGTGGCAAAATTAGTATAGCAACAAATTGGAAACATGAAAAAGCACCTAAAAGAATGATGAATAATTTAATGATCAAATTGTGTGCAAATCACATCAAATTTTAGAGTGAATACATTTGAATGCTGGTCTGTATTTCTAATATACTGGGATTTCAAGATATAATCTGCCCATATGTATGTTTTGGCATGTTATTGATATGAAATCGGTGTGTAAAACGGATTTGGTTATGAGAATGTATTATTTATTAAATAGATAATATTTCTTTTGCAATATATCATATAAACAATTTTACAGTATTGTAAGGATGAAAAGAAATAACTTCTATATCCAGGTACATGAAGAATGATCTTAATCGACTCCAGCTTCACTGCAGAAACAAAGAATGCGGTTGTGAAATGGTGTGTTCACTGGAATCCATTGACAGACATGAACGCGAGTGTAAATACAGCCAGATCCCCTGTTCTAATGCTGGTAGGCAGAGATGTATGAGAAATGCCTTTTTACCTTGCAAGCAGGACATTCTCCATTTTCTTTTGAATTCAGTTCCATGTTTTTAGAATATAGATCAAGAAGGCTTCACAGTTGGTGGCTGTTATTGAGTGGTATTTCTCTGTGAACTCCCCTCTGCTTTTTGCTAGGATTAGTTGAAACAGTATGGCTTTTATGATGGATTGGCACCAATGTTTGGGGAGCTAATATTCCTTTTACTGCACACCAGTGGAAGTTCTTGTACCTGTCCAGCCATAGGAAACACTAACCTAAGGCTAAAATAGGCATGGTGCAACAGATCTGGGATCAACATCTCCCCGGTTTTTCTTTGATTTTCTATAAACTTCAAATTAGCAAATTTGTGCCAGTTCGTGCTTAATAATGCTGCAGGCCTAAGGGCAATCATGTGATGTCCTGGAAGTAATCTCCATTGAATAACATGAAACTTGGTCCCAAGTATACCTGTTTAGGATTGCTCCCTAGCTCTTCACTTGATACTACAAGCTTAGGAAACTTGGTGGCAGGGAAGCAGATAAGGGGAGGGTGTTCCCATAATCAGGGTGCCACAACTGAAAAGGTCTTTTCTTATTGCTCCTCTCACTTCTGATAATGTTTAAGAAATGATGGATCAATAGCATATATTACCCTTCCATTGTTTAAATTTTAAGAAAGAAAATTTAGGCACTGACAGCTACCACACCTAGAGAAATATACTGGATATGCCACTGTTGTGCACTAATCCACTTTATCATGTAACTTTCAGTTCCCCAGTTGGAATGGTATTATATCCATTCATTACATTTCTAATCACTTTAATGACAAATGCATTTTAGAAATGTAAACATTTCTATGAACAATATAGGAATGGGAATTTTTCCATCCCACATCAGCTCCACGTGGCTGATTTGAACTTTTTTTAAAAAGATGAGAAGTCCTAATTAAGAACCTCGTGTCCTCTCTAGTTTGGCACTGACATAGTTGGATAATGGAATAACACAGGAAGCCATTTGCTTGTTAACATTTCATATGTACTTGGACTATCATGGGATGTTGAAATAATTCTGGCTCTGATACGAACTAGGATAAACAGTACAATCCGAAGAAGAGTTACCACCCTTCTAAGTCCATTGATGGCTCTGGGCTCTGCTGAGGATTGCACTGAAAACTAGTGCTTACTGCTTCCCCTCTGATCTACTGCTTTCTGTTCAGGCTGCCCAGTCCAGGTTGAACGATGCAACTTAGATAGCCACTTGGCAGAGTGTGAATACCGAAGCCGAGAATGCCCCAATGGCTGTGGGTACAGCAGTCTCCGAGCTGAAGGTGCACCACACAGTTGCATGGCAGAGCTGAGAACAGAACTAGAACTGCTCAGGTGAGTAGAGTAACTCTCTTTTTCTCTGACTATTCACATTTTCTGAAACAAAAGGCATTCATTGATAGTTAATTATTGCAACTAGTATCTCTTTGAATTTCCAGTATTTTTAATAGTCTGTGTGTTCATTGATGTGCAAAAGGAACTATTTGAAAACAAACTCTGGTGTTTCTGCAGCTCTCTGGTGGTTAGCAGTGTTAGCTTCATGAACTGTGACCACTGCCATCTCCTTGTACTCTTTTTCAATTTATAAAAATTGTGCCAAATTCACTGAAATAGTCAACAAGTCAACCATTTCTTGGTACCGCATAGGGAACGCCAGGGTAGTCCCACATGGGGAATGAGAGTTGCCCTTTAATCAAATATGCAGACTTCTCCAGCTTATTGCTCTTCTCTGCCTTCTCCTGAGAGGAATCTGCAGCAACCAGACCCCATCCCCACAGGGAATGCCAGAGTGACAACCCCGCAACTGGCAAGAGCCTCCCCACTTCCCCAGCCGCAGAGCCATTTCATGCAGCAGGCAGACAACTGGGCCAGCACCTTGGGAGCCCCTCGGCAGAGCTGTCTCCTGAGTGCATGAGGCAGGCTGTGGGGGGAACATGGCATATGAAGAGGTTGCTTTCTGGGCTGTACTGGCTAACTGAGCATTCTGCATAATCAAATGCTAGATAACAAAGCTTCTACTGTAATGTAAAATGTCTGTCTTCAAAACTAAATATCATTCATCCAGCACAAGTTTATGGACTGATAATTCAGCTGATTTTGGCATGTCAAAATGTGATGCATATTTATCTTGGATTAACAGGAAAAAACCTCTATAAACGAGTATGACTTCAAATGTATGGAAGGTTAAAAATAATCTTTGATCACATTTGATTATTGTCAAATCAGCAATGAGAGAATGATGTTTTAGACAGAATTTAGTATCTGATCATAAACTTTGTTTTGCCCATCTCTATATAAGTCTTTTGGGTGTGGCTTTCCTCCCATTTGTCAATCTCTAGTCGATTACCCTCTTTCTCCCTCCTTGGACAATAGTTGTTCAATATTAAAAAGAAACTGTCAGCCATGTTCTGTGCCACAGGATGGCACAGAAATTATTGCCATTATAAGCCAGAGTGAGTGTTTATTATGTGTAGCCAAGAATCACAGTTTAGGCTTTCAGGGAATTTGCAGGGGAGGGGGGTTCCAAAGCCTGAGATTCCGGAGCAAAAGAAAGACTAGAAAGATGAAGCAGGGAAGCCTAGCAGAGAGGCAGAGAATTGACAAATGTCTGCTTAACTCCGCTCCTGCTCTCTAATATTGTTTTCTGCGTGGACCACTTTTTAATGCACATTTGAGGGTTTCCTTCCAGTTAGAATATTTCCAGCATGTTATCGTATTTGCACAGTTCATCACCTCTGCCTAGAAAATACTCAGCCCTTTTCCTGTTCTTCATTCCTTTTTCTTGGTCTTCCTGCAGCTTTGCTATTCTTCCCATCTTTTTCTACTGGTATCTCCAGGCTTATTCCTTTAGTTGCTCAGCAAGCACTGATCATCTTGGTAAGTGAAGCTGGAAACAGACACTCTCCATTTACAAATAAGATTCTGGAATAATTCAAGTTTTCAGAGTGTTAAAACACCTTGATGGGATTGAGTACCATTTTTTAAATAGCGCTACTGACTCATTATCTGTGCCCTAATAATGCATTCTGCATTAACACTACTGTGATCACAGACCTCAACCATCTTGTCTTGTTGCTTTTTCCTATTACATCATCACTTTGGGGAGTTGTGAAACTTTCCTAAATTTCTACTAAGCTAAATGGCCTAACTTTGAAACATACGCATTTTTGTGTGAAAGCACGCTAAAACCTATTGAAAGTAAGTAGGATGAACTGATGCTAAGGTCCTTGGAAGAGTTTGCAACCGTCTATCTTCTGTGTGTTATTTCTGCCATTATTGGAAAGGACAGATTCTCAACAAGAGGCTAAATTGCTTCTAAAGACTTGTGATGTGTGCAGGACTACAGGAAGCTGGCAGAGCAGTTTCTGAAGGTGATTGTTGTTTTGCCATAACTGAACAGTATTTTAAATACTGTCAGAACAGCTTTTTGTGTGTGTAGAAATAGTGTTTCATTTTTAGGTTTTAAAAAATATATTTTCTAGGTCAGAGATGGTCTGCAGAATGGAAGAAGCAAAACATGAGATGGAATCCAGATTAGATTTTCAAAGGAGACATATGGTGCAAAAAGAGAGTCTTTTGCAAAATGAGATTGAAGAGCTCAAGGTATATGTATAATTTTTGTACTGAATTGTACTACATTTACCTCTCGGATAATTTTGCTTCCCTAAATGGTTTCTTTTAGTGACTTAATGCCTCTGTCTAATTTATTCCTTGCTGAATGTTGTGTTTTCAAGTAGCTATAACATATACTTTTTTTGAAGTAATGCTTTGAGCATCAGGAATCCCGTCAGAAACCCAGGGAAGCAGGTGTTAGGTGATGTGCAAACCAGTCATATGAATGTTGAATAGACCTTTGTAATCATTCTGATTTGTAAGTCAGACTGATTCCAAAATTGTCCTTCAGCCTTCTTTGCCATCCAGCCCTCCAACTGCTAACAGCCCTCATTCCTGTCCTTTCCATGCTTACTAAGGCAGCAGGCTCTAAATGCTGCTGCCTGCAAGTATGAGCAGCACTACCCAGCAGTTCCCATGCACACAGCAGCATCTGGGACCTGAAGCTCATTATGACAGTGTGCCAGTGTGCCTTGCACTGGTGAACACTGGGATAGAAAATAGCACAGTGGAGCAGAGCAGGTCAATCTTCGAGGGTATGGAACCAGTCTGAAATGGTTCTGGGTATGGGGGAGATCCATGAAATAAATTGTCTGGAGCCATCAAAATTCAGATTTGATGAATTGCTGCTAATTGTTGGTCTGCACAGCGTTTGGAACCTCAGGCTACTGGGTCAAAGAAGTATGGTGTACAGCCCACCAAAACAATAGATTGGAGAGAATGGCACGTGCAAGTTCTTGAGCCTATTGTTGCACTCTTCCCAATGAATGTGACAGATTCAGGGATGTTACAGCTGACAAGAAAGCCATCCACTGCCAGTGTGGCTAGACGCATGAACACATGAAGCTGCCTTATACTGAATCAGACCTTTGGTCCATCAGAGTCAGTATTGTCTACTCAGACTGGCAGTGGCTCTCCAGGGTCTCAGGCAGAGATCTTTTGCATCCCAGATCCTTTAACTGGAGATGCCAGGGACTGAACCTGGGACCTTCTGCATACTCTGCCTCTGAGCCACAGTCCTCCCCTGAATTCCTTGGGAGGAGGGCAAGGCACAAATGAGACAGAAAATTGTGACCTTCTTAAGTTTGTAGTTCTGAAGAGTGCTTAACGGATAACACAGCTTTCATTTAAAAGCCACTTGTATTAATACTTTTTAGAGTCAGATGTCTCGGATGATGTCTGATATACATACCCTGATGGCAACTGAAAGGCAGCACCGTCAAAAACTGGAGCAGGCAGAACTTGAAAAACAGGAATTGCTGGAGCTTGTGAAGGGCCTCCAGAAAGATTACCGATTGACTCGGGATGGCAACAAGAAAGGGACAAACGTTCGACCACTAACTCGACTGGAAAGTATGAAGCGGAAACCAAGAGAGGTCACGGTCATATAAAAAGGAAGCTCTCAAATTCCTGCTTCCTCTGTCTACATTTGGACTTGCTCCTGCGTAATATGCACATAAAAGGGATGCAGTCCAACAGTACTGTAGAGCTGCTCACTTGAGTAAGGCCACACATGGGATCCCCTCTGCTAAAGATCAGGCATCAGCTGTGCCTTGAAGGATAGCATTTCAGGAAGCATAAGGAGAATCAATTATGAATCTTAAAAGAATTGTTTAATATGATAACAAAGATTTTCTTGGGATTGTCTTTCTTGCCCAAATCTTTTTAAAGGAATTATTTCATTTGTAGGAATGGGACTTTCCTTACTGAAAGCACAGTTCTATAGCTGATCAAAGGCTGTTCTTTGCAGTGGCTCTACAGATGCTACAACTTGGATCCTGCCAGTTTTTCTGCTCAATCTCACCTGATTTCTCTCCACATTACAGCACCGGCCCCATACAGCTTTTGTACACAAAGGGGTCACATGAATTGAGTCTTTTTGGTGGTCAGAAGGGGCCCTAACAATCCTACGAATGCATAAATGTTATAGCAACTCCCCACGCACCAAATGTAGCTAGTTTTCAGATTCAGACAATTCAAAAGCTACCTGAACTTCCATATGTCAAAAATTGATGGAGTCGTGTGGAAATTCTTCAAGTATTTATTCTGTGTGATCCTTTATACATGTTTAGGCCAGCATAAAAAGCTAAAATCTGGTGTGAAAGTATGGAATTGAAAGGGAAACTTAAACTATATACCAGTGGCTTAGACCTTTAAAATGGGGTTTGTAGTGCCTTTATTATAACAAATCCTTTGTGAAGATAGAAGCATAAGCCAAAGTTTTACAAGAGGAATATTACTGTAGCATTTGTGATACATTTCAGAGAGAGAGAGTTGTTTCTTCAACCGCTATGGCTGGGATCCAGAGAAGCCTATACAAAACTGCTTCTACATGTGTGGGGTACTAAGTTTTCTCTTCATTGGCTATGTAGGGGACTGCGAGGGTAGAGCTGAAAATACCCAAGTGGAATTGTCTAATGAACTTTGGAACCTAGTGTTAATATTTTATACTGTAGTATTATGGAATATATTTACTGAAAAACAGAGAACTTAAATTTCTCTCCTTCTAGGAACTGTTGTGTGATGCATAAACAGTTTAGTATGTCAATGTCATTTCTTCAACTGTTCTTGGCACATTGAAAACTTCATAAAACCAACCTGAAAACTCAAATTATGCAGCCTTCCCCCATATCTCATGTCATCTATTCCATTAGAAATGGTATGTCATTCTTGTACTGATGTTTAGTGTCTTATCTTGGATAATAAATAAAAAGATTTGAGACCATGTCCTTCCTTAGCACTGTAAGGAAAACTGTGCATTATATTGGGTTTGTAGAGGCACCACACAGCTGCATTTTCCGATAAAGGCTACTTTCAGGTCCTCAGTGGCTATGATCTGAGCAGACCCTGCTCCTGGGTTCACTGGCCAGAAAACCTTTATTTTTGAAGTCTCACTGGCTCTCTTTTGCACTCATGCCTTAAAGTATCTCTTGGCTTAACAACCCGTCTTTCTGCTGACTAGTTACTACCAAATAACTCAAACTTGTTAGTGTAGAGAATAGTACCTTGTTAGTGTAGAGAATAGGTACTAATTTCTTTAAAAATAATTTATGCATTATTTGTTTCAAGTGACTTGGAATGTTTCTTAGTTTTGGGGAGGTGGTGGAGGGAAGTAAAATCTATTCTGAAGTCAGAGATCTGGGTAACCTGGTAGGACACTTGCTGTGTTCAGACAGACAGGTGATGCACATTTTTCAGGAGGAAAAAATTGCAGTTTACATCCGAGATTTGATGATCAGCCAAAAAAAAAGATAAACCCCCCCCGTGAAATGTAGATGTCAGTTTTTATAACCTCTGTTAAGATTAGGGTTGCCAGCCTCCAGGTGGGGCCTGGAGATCTCCCGCTTTTACAACTGATCCCCTGGAGAAAATGGCTGCATTGAAGGGTGGACTCTAAGGCATTGTGCCATGCTAAGGCCACTCCCCAAACCCCACCCTTTCCTGGATCCATCCCCAAAGTCTCCCAAGTATTTACCAACCCAGACCTGGCAACCCTAGTTAAGATCTGTCGCTTCAGAATATTTAGCGAGTTGATGAGGAATTATGGAATGTCTCTTGACAATGGGCCAAGGGATAGACAGAGCACCATGGAGTGGGAAGGAGGGACACTGTGGACTGGATCATCTTGCAAGACGAGCAGCCCCAGAAATGTGACTTGCAAACACTGGCGATATGGTGGTGTGAAGGACTGAGATGAAATCCCCTCCCTCTTCCACAAGCACAGCATACTGAAAGAAAAAGGGGAACTGGGCACTCCTTCCCTGCAGTCCAAACCCATTTGCAGATCTCCTTTTGTACATCAAGTACAAATGCTTCCTTTTTATTACATTCAGAGCAACTCTCTCCTGTAGGGTATTCATTGCCACTTCACAGATAGGAGAAAAGTGAGCCATGTGTTGTGTCGCCAGGTTCATCATCGAGAAGGTTTCAGCTTAATGCTACTTGGGAACATAAGGATAGCTAAGACCTCTGTGTGTGTGTGTGGGGGGGGTCTTGCGTATGCTACCCCAATTAACACTGATTTAAAACAATTTACCTTGTTCTTTTTCCACCCCACACTCACAATCTTGCCTGTCAGCAGTTGTACTGCTGATTTCTGCTACACGAGTGCACCTGACTTCGTAACAGCAAACTAAAAAGCCTATCTATTGACTAACTGAGAAGAAGCACTTGACACTGAAAAATCATGTGCAAGATTTAAAGGGAGAATATGTGAAACAGCTGAAAATTTCAGATGAAGATGAACATAAAGAAATACCTCTTGTATCAATTCCAAATATGATTCAGAGCTAACCAGATCTAGATTTGATCAGTCATGAACACTAACTTGAGAACCTTATCAGCAAGATAAAAAATATTGTAACTCTCTTCTGTACAAAACAGAACTGTATTACCTGAGGTTGAATCCATTCCACTATAAGGTCGCTAACCACATGGAGAGGGAGAAAAATCCTGCTCCTTGAACAGAGGCTTAGTGGGATATTCACTTCGGCCAATGAAAAGTTTCAATGGCCACTGCAGAGGGGGCAGGTCCTTTTTTCAAGGTGGTTTGCAACCTGATGCCACTAGCATCTTGAAAGAAAGGCTCCTTCCACTGTGCTATAAGAACTGTATTTTCAGGATCCAACCCATGGTTTTATACAGACAGCTTCTGGAGGATATAAAAATTGAAAGATTGGCTGTAACGAGACGACTTCTAACTCAAACAGGCTGATGTAAGAGCAAAGCCAGGGCAATAGCTGAGGGATGGGATTGTGAGAAATTAGCACATTTAAGAACTATTGCACCTTAACAGAAAAGCAAATGCAGAACATCCTGATTTTATATTTTACCTTAAATGCATAAGGGAGTCGCCTTCTTGACAACAGTATTGACTTTGATATTGAGGCTACATACATGGCTGTACTGCTTGTAGCATGACAAGGGGACATTGCTAAAGCGAGCCTTAAATCAGTACTTCTGGCATACAATGCCCTATTCCGCCAGAAAATGCAGGCAACTGTACACAAAAAAAAGTTTTATTGAAATCTCAGATCTTGTATCAAACAAAATTTGATTCTTTCCAACAAAACAAAACCTCTTGCTGGCCTGGATTCCAGTAAGTCTACCATTGGTCCTCAAGCGCTTAAGCTTTCTGTAGATATCTTGAAATGTTCAGAGTCAAGATGCTCCAAATGGTCTATCGAGTGAAAGAACGAACATGACGCCCTCTTCCACTGCCTCCACTAATGAATTTTCCTCTTGAGCCACTGCTACTGCCACTATTCGCGCTTGCCCAAGATGGCCCAATTCCTCCACGGCCTCTTGAAGCACGATCACGAGGACTTGGCCGATAGGCTTAAAATGAGAAAAAAGGTAATCAATAACAGTGCATTGGTGGTTTCTATCAGACTCTAAATGAGGGCAAATATGTATATTACAATATGCAATGCTAGGAAATGCTAGAAGGCAGCAGCAAAATACCAAGACCCAACATGAGAAGCATTGTCTCAGTAAAAGAAGCCACAGCCTACGATCTGTGGAGGGTTATTAATTCATCGACTTGATGGCACACAACACAGCAGGGAACTGCAAACAGCCCTGTTTGGCAGGACTAATACAGAGCTGTTTCCATTTGCATAACGAACTGGTCACTAACAGCTAAAGGCTTAAGACTTTTTCTGCTCTAGAGAAAAGGGGGGACCCAAATAGGATGACTTACAGAAAAGTAAAGTTCCACTGAAATCAAGACAAGTAAAAGTTGTGACTGGAGAACATGTATGTAATATGGTGTGGAGATCCTGTTAATTTCAAATGTAACAGAATAGCCCCCATTCTCTGTCATACACATATTTACCAGTCTTGTTTTATTAGATATAAAATATCTACCCGATCATGGTAGATCAAAGGCACTCAGGGGCAAAATTGCCCTCATTTCTTCTTATGGGTGTCAGTGCCCCAGGGAGCCCATGCTCACAGGAGGCATACAGGTGACTTGGGTCAGGCTCGGCTTTCATTTCACAAAGCAGGGGCAGAGAGACAGGGACTCTTTCACAAACACACAACATTACCAAGCCACCAGTAATGTGGCCTAATTAAAAAAAAACGAAATGAAAAACCGCGTTATTCAGGTCTTTTTACCTAACATTAGTTTCTAAAGGAGTTATCATATCTGGAGCAAACTTACCATATGCTGCAACCTCAAGGGGAAGGCCAAGTGGGATGTGATACACTTATTATGTTATCATAAATTCAGCTAGTAATATGTATATTTCTAGCATGTGAAAAAAAACCACATACCTGCAGAACTTAATGGCCTCAGGGGTGGTAAAGGGCCCCTGTTAAAATTGCTTTGTCCACCTCTGCTTTCACTGTAGGTGCCTCGTGGAGAACTCTGCACGCTCCAACTTGACCCTCTAGCTCCTTCACGACGACTGTAATTTCCTAAACAGTGAGGATAACTGGCTAAAACAATTACAGAACATTTCAGCATTCAGCATAAAATGCTAAACTGCACTTTATGTTTAATTAAATCTCTAAGCGGCACAATAATGCAGCTCGGTGGACAGATTTAAGCTCTGAAATGGAAGCTGTAAATTCAACCCCTGCAATTACCATTGCATCACCTCGTGATCTTAAAGAAACCATTCCCTTTAATCCTCAGATCCCATCTATAACATATGAATACTACTAGGGTTGTTGAAAGAAGGAACAAAAGAATGTAAAACACTTCTGCTTGCAAAGATCAGCATCACTAGATACAGTAGCATCACTAAACTGAAGTGTACTTTGAAGAACTCTCCAGATAATGGAACCTTAACCCAGGGGGCACCACCCTTAAAGCCCACATACCTCAAACGGAACCAAGAACATACCTTTAGAAGCAGGTGGTGTGAAGAACCGATTCTGGCTGTGAAAGGCACCTCGCCCTCCTCTGTTCCCTGAGAACCCACCACGTGAGGAGATCTTCTGTGAAACCTTTGGTGGTCTCTTGGGAGGCGGTATCCCATCTGGTGGAACCACTTCTTTGCTTTCAGCAGCCACAAAATCATCCACATGCATAGAAGGTGGCCTGCTTGTATTCTGCTTCCTCTGACGGAAGATATCATGGGGCCGGATGCCTTGGCCAAACGCTCCCCTGCCCCTTCCTCTAGGAGGGGGCACGATATGGGCTCTCTTGGCAGGTTCGATGTACTCTGACTTCCCACTGTTAAGGCCCAAAATAGTAGCACAGTAAGCTTAAATTAATGCAAGACATTTCATCTAAAGAACATCAAACAGGAGCTTCCTTTCCTCCTCTCCTTTCCAACTGCCTCTCACTATTGTTCTAGATCAGCAAGAATTGCTCAAGCAAGTTTTGTAGGGGTAATAAAAGAGCAACTTCAACTTACAAGAGTTGCCAAATCTTAGCACTGAGCCTCAATTCTTTGGATTGGGGGAGAAGCAGAGTACCAGATGCAGTTTTTCCATGGCAGCCTTTTCTTAGTACTGCACTTTAATACCCACATCCTCCTCTTTCGTCACTCATTGGCACTGGCTGTGACACTGCCCTGCTTAATGGCACTGGCTGCTTTGTTTCTCTTTAGCATACTGGCAGGCTTCACAGGACAACAGCTCTCTTCCCTACAAGCTAAACAGCTGTGGCACTCCAAGCCCAACCGCTCTGTGCCACCCTCTATGTTCTAAGTCCCTGTCATGTCACACCCAATTCTATGCTGGCAGATCTGTTTATTAAGCACTGGAGATGAAGAAAT